TCTGAAGCACCTGGAGTTGGCGGCTGTCAGACAGACAAGTGGGCCGGGTGGACCTGGGGTCGCATCCGCTGTGTCCATTTCCAGATTCCTCCGCATGCCTTGTTAGAGTCCAGTGGTTCTCAACCCGTGGGCTGTGACCCAAAAGTGGGTTGCAAGAATATACGAAAGGGCTACGAACAAATTTAAAAAACAGATCAAACTTTAAAAACGTATTCTCCTTTAAAGAAGAAAAAATGTTGCTTTTCCCTTGTAGACTGTGAGGGGTCCAGCCTGCCAGGGGTTACTTGGGGCCCCACATGCCCCACACACTAGGGCCTGGGGGCAGCAGGTTCAGAGTGAGGGTCACTGGGTCAGGACAGGTTTGCAAATGGGTCCTGGTACCAAAAAAGTTGGGAACCAGCTCACATCCGTTGTCATCACTTCATCATCCATTGATTCACTTTCAGCATCAGTTTTCTTGGTGCTTTACCCATTAGGGGTTGAACCACAGATTCCCCTAAGTAATCTCCACTACAGGACAATTATGTCACGATGCCAGGCCACTGCCTGGATGCTGCAGTGAAGCAGCAGTGTGCCCACAGCTCTTGGCAGCGTTCTCACTCTGCAGTGGTGGGCCAAGCCCTGTGATTTCCCCAGTGCAGTGGTGGACCCAGGTAGCTGTTTTCCCCAGTGCAGTACTAAGCAGATCCCCTCCATAACTCCTTGTTCCTCCAGTGTATCCCAGCTCATGATCCAAGCTATGCATGACAACTTGTCAAACACTGACATCCGGGCCACTCTTTCAAGCTGAAGACAGCAGGTGAGGCAGCGGGCCAGGTAAAACGGTTGAGACAAGGAGTCCAGCTCCTTCCTAGAAAGGCAGGTCGTTCTGGCTTCTCCAAGCCCGCCATGCCCCTTGGCAAGCCTGGCCTGTCCGGCAGCCCAGCAGCAGGAGCTCTGGCTCTACTAGGGCTTGCAGAAGACCTCGTTCTGCATTTTTATGCAGCCCTGGGTTTTCTCTCCATCACTGCTTCCACCTGGGCCCCTCCAGTTCGTCCCAGTGGGCTCCCCCACTCCTGGTCCTGAGCTGGGGATATGCCTGGGCCCAGTATGAGGGGGCAATATTTGGTGTGAGACTTTCAGCTCCAAGAAGGTATCAACATCCAAGCCAGTTTTAGGGGGAGAAACCAGAGGCCAATTCTGGGCTCCACGAGGCTGAATTACCCCAAGTCACCCAATGAGCGGATGGGAGGGGGAGAGGGCCCTTTGCCCAAATCCCCACTTGTCTAACATCATTTCTGGGTAAGCAGGAGTTTTCCACTGAGTGCACTGAGGAAAGATACTCCTATGTCCTTGCTGCTCAGGGTCCTGCCATGGCTCAGCGCTGAACTAACGCTCCTCTTGTCCTGTAGCAAAGGTTCCTCCGGCCAATTCAGAGCAGATCGGCTGGAAGCACGGCTGGGGTGATAGTTATCTTCTGATTCCCAAACCTGATAAATAAATAAAGACAGTTGTTTAAGACGTCCTAGAGCCCTGCTGCTTCTCAAGCAGGCTCGGCCCCGTGTCCGTGCAGCTGTCTGAGCTGCTTGGCAAGGCCTTTCCAGCAGATGGGAGTGTTTGCTTGCAGGATGGCAGTGTGCAGAGAGGGAGGAGAGGAATGAAGGTGGCGTGAGAAACTGTGGGAAGCTGGAAGAATAAGAGAACATGCCTGCCTGCCAGGGGACTTACCCTGCCCAGCACCAGCTGTCCCTCAGTCTCTACTTAACCTGCTGGTTTTTATCCTGGCACCTGAGATGCTTCCCAGCCTTTCCAGAAGGGATGGATGCTCCCTGCCCCAGTGCTGGCTGTTTTACCGTGGGCAAAGTTTGAGCGATTCTTGATCCAAGTCCTGTCCATGCCTTGAAGGTTGGGGGGCAGCACTGGCAGACGAGGTTCTTTGGGTAGATGTGATATTTTGTATTAGACCAACTCAATAGTTGGAAAAATTGTTCTTTGCAAGCTTTTGTGCACAAACACCTTCAGGCATAGAGAGAGTTGGTGGAGACTTGCAGATTTGCTGAGGGGATTATGGATAGCAACAATCCCCTACCTGCCCTCTCCTTCACAGAGGTCATTCATTGCTGTGGTTTTGAGACCGCCCTTGTGAGACTGCATTTCCCATCTCATAGAATCATAGATCCGGTGAATCTCATAGATCCAGTATAGCCTGTAATGCACGTGCAAGTTTCTCTCCAGAGATTTTGCCTTCATATTCCTCTGTGCATTTGTTGTTTGTGTTGTGGCAATGGCCAGAGGCCTTCCTTATTCCAGGAGCAGGGCTTTGCTGTGCCTTGGGCCGTGCAGGACCGTGGGAAGACACAGGCCCAGCCCTGAAGAGTTGTCCACCTCAAAGAGCAAGCTGGAGCTGAGGGCTCAGGCTGCTGCTGGCCCGCGGCAAGTTAGCCGTGCATCTATATACCAGTATTTTCCTTCACAAGGTTGCTTGTATTCTGAATGCTGGGAAAAGGGGCTCTGGGAGTCTTCAGGGAAGAAACGGGAGTGAGAAGAGAATCACTGGATTGAGAGATGAGTGTCAAGTCCAAAGTGGGCACGGAGGAGGGCGCTCTTACCCCTACACCTATATCATGTGGTTCCTGGCTGTCCTGGCCATCAGGCCCTGTTGTGAGAGCGGCACTGGAAGAAACACAGAAAGGTCTTGTTATGGAAAGGGCCAGCCCTGATCCCATGCTCCTGTTGCTTGTTAAGCAACAACGGTAAACACAGAGCAAAGGAGAAGAAGAGGGCAAAGCCATTACCATTGTTATTACAGGCTCAGCGTCTCCAAGACATTGGCAGAAACAAAGTCATTAAATGGCTCGAATGGAGCTTTGTTCCATGCATGATTAAGCCACTTGGAAGGGGAGGGGGGCTTGGAAGCAATCCGCCAGCTGCACCTGTAGTACAGGGGGCACCTATTCACGCTGAATTAAAGCGAAATGAGTGGCAAATTTGAGGTCGTTCAGCCATGACCAAGGCATTTGTGTAGCTAAATGGGGCTGAAAGAGCTAATCAAGGTGTTTGGGATCATGGATTTCGCAGGGGCACAGGCCTGTGTGGCCGGGAGCAGGGGGATGCTGAAGGGCCCATGGGCAGCCTCATCTGCGTGCTGTGCAGGGGCAAACCCTCAGGCCTGGGGTGGTCAGGGCACCATGATGTTATTTGGGCACCCGTGAAGCTCAGCAAGGGGCCTGGGTGCAGGCACAGACCAGTGGGGTCCACTGGGACTGAGGCCTAGCGAAGGCCTGTGCGCAGCCTCCCTATATATGATAAATGACACTGAGGCATGGCAGGTGAGACAGGAAGGCGCCCTGGGGTGGAACAGGGCACAGTTGCGGAGCCACCAAGGGCATCTCAGCCACTCCTGGGACTCAGATGTGTTGCATACTGCCAGAGCGGGGTCTGCTGGGCTTCACCAGTCTCAGCCCATCATGCCAAGCTGCCAATGGGTCTATGAGCCGGATCTGCCAAGTGCTGCAGAGGAACCAGAACAGGCCCCAGTCCTTGCAGTGACTGAACAGCCCCAGGGCCCAATTGCTGAGTGCCAGAGGCCTGTGGGAAGGCTGTCAGTAGCTCTGTCGCTTCTTCCCAGGCACAGCTGGCAGGGAAATGAGAAGCTGTGGCAGGTAGCCCAGCCCATGGCCTGCAGCTCATTGCCTGGACCTAAGGCCAGGTGGGAATGTTTCTAAGAGAAGCCCCAGTGGCTGCCACAGGCAGACACCGTGGCCAGAGGTACAGTTGCAGTACAGTGAATTATTGATCGGAGTTAACGCTATGGTTCTGACAACACCATTACCAGCTTGGACTTCATGTTTAAATCATCACTCCGGTGGCTTGGAAACACGCGATCTTTTATTGAATGCATGCTCAGCGGCTCTTCCTGGTCCCATCCCTCTGTTCGTTCCCTGTGGCGGTGCTGGGGGGCAGGTGGAGAGCAGAGATGATGATTCTGGAGCTGTGTGGATGAGGGTCTCAGGCCTGGGCCAGGTGGCTGGAGAGGGCTTGCAGTACACGACTTGGGGCTTGCCCACCTTGCAGCAGGTAGGGCAGTGGGTTTGACATGAACATAATAACAGGGCAGAGATTTTGCTGGGGAGAAACAAATCTCATGGCCAACAGGTGAGTGCAGTTGGAGCTGGGTGTGGATAGCAGTGTGCAGCATACACATGTGCATCTTTACTGCAGCCCTGACCAGGACCGAAACGTCAGCTCAGTCTGAAAGGTTCAGCATTTCGTGTCTAAGGCACGGAGCCCTCCAGTCTCCCACCAACCCGCTTACTATGAGCTCTGATTGTGGGGACACTTGCAAGGTGTGCTGAGACCCAGCAAACTAGTTTCATACCTAGGAAAATAGTTACTAGTGTACTGTTTCCTGGCTGCTGGCTGGGCTGTTTAGCAGAGAACTGTACTGCAATATGAACAGGACCATTTCAGTTATATTCCCAGCTCTGCCACAGACTTACTGTGTGAGCTTGGTGCTTTCTCACTCTGCCTCAGTTTCCCTAGTTGTACAATGCAACCCAGCCAGGGAAGCGATTCCACCCTGCGCGGTATCAATTCTGACGCCACCCTGCACCCTCCACCCCTTCATATCTTGGCACCTCCCGCAGCTGTGAGGCGCACTGTAATTATTCTCAGTTCCATTCTCTTGTCCCATGGGGGTGGTGCCTGGGCAGCGGGGTGTTTTTGCAAGGGGATATTTTGCTTTTCAGTCTGTCCATGCTGCTTTGTGCTTAGGTTGAGGCTGAGGAAGTGGTCCTGGCACCTGGAGCAAAATTGGCAAGGTTTGTGAGGGGCCCTGGATCTTGGCGGTGTCTGCTCCATGGTATGGCACCAGCTCCTGGTGCTCCATCATCTCCTTCCCAGAGGCTCTTGGCCCCCAAGCTGAACAGCTTTGCCGGGCCTGAGAAGCAGAGCTGCTGGCTGCAATAGATATTCCTGAGCTATCAGCCCTCTTGGATCCTCCCTGCAGCCTTGGAGATCCTGCAGAGCCTTTGACCTCTGGAGGCCAGCGTGGGGAGCAGGGCAGTGTGACCTGCCTCTGCAGCCTATGTTGCTGAGACCTGTGCGAGGTTTGGAGACCTGCTCCTCCTTTGGTGTCCCTTTGGCTGCCAGATGGCGCTGCTGGCCCAGCTCCGAGAGGCTTCTGCATCCCTGGCCTTTCCACTCGCAGCTCCCATCCCAAGCCCTCGGCCTGATGCCTCAGGCTTTTCTCCCTGCACAGACACTGCTAACCTACAGGAACCTGGCTTGGAGACCCTGCCAGCCTGCAGCCCTGGAACAGCTCTCTGGGACCCTGCATGAGCTGTCAGCCCCCTGCATGCAGGGGAAGGGTTTGGGAGGGCAGGACTGAGTGCTGGGGCCCTGAAGAGACTGGCCTCATGCACTCCAGCAGACTGGACCTCCTCAGCATCTGGAGGAGCTGCTGCAAGCTGGTCCTCGAGCATGAGGGAAACAAGGGAGCTTCAAGTGTTTGGTATCCAGGAACTGGGGCAACAGGAGGCAGGGGTAGACCCACCTGCCCTGTAGCTCCTTACTAATGTGCCCGCTCTGTGTAATGGGGGCTGCCCCAGCCAAGAGGGGAGAGTCCTGGGCAGAAAGGGTCCTTGTTGGGGGCAGTATTTTGCTTAACAGATTGGGGCCAGGACATGAGCTCCATCTCCAGCCCTGCTCCTGGGATCTCTTTTCCTCTGCACCTTGCTTTGCTGTAACACAGGGGAAGAGGGGGTGTTGTGCCAAGCTTGCATCATTCATGGCCCAGGGGCACAGAGCAGT